GGTTAGAAGCGTCCTGACAAGGGCGGTGCTAATTACTCCGGAAACTGCACATTAACCTCACCCCCTTTCAAATTCTCCGCCCATTTTGTTCCACCTACTCAAAGTCACTAACACTGAACTACAAGCAGATAATAAAAAAATATGCCACATAATTTAATAAACGTAAATGAGCTGTGTGTACTGTAAATTTGAGTTGTAATACTCGTATAAAAGAAGTCCATGAGTGACATGACTGCCGTTTAATTCACACTTGATATGCCACCTTGCATGCAAGCTCCGTGGGAAAGTGACTTCTTTGTAACAAAGAACGAAACAAAAATTCAAATACATAAGCTAAGATTTAATTTAATATCAATTCCGAAATAGTGTCTTCTAGCAGAACACAATGACATTTCCCGTATTACCACTCCTCCAATGACAACCTTTTTTCAAAAGGTAATATCATCTGGGATATAACACCTCATAGCCCATTTTGCTTAATTTCTGAGTGTACTTTACAGTGCTTTTTAAACCTTATAAATTCGAGCGGAAATATTAATGTGAATGACGAACTGAGGAAAGTCTTACAGGTTGTGATATATACCAACCCTTAATGATTCCGTTTCTGGAAGTTCTGTTACGACCGGCGGTTGTCGACCAGTGTGTCTTGGTGTCACGCACCCATCTGGGGCTCCAAGACCAGATTTGTATTACTGTGACACAGTTGCGGGTCTGCTGATGTGGGACGCTCCCTCTGACGAGAGGATGGGTCTGTCATTTACAACTGCTGCTGATCCTCGCCAGCGCAGTCATTCTCGGGTCCGAGTACCGCAGGAATAATGACCATATTTTAGCGTCTCAGATTCGAGAGTCCCAAAACCTGGAGGGCCACGTTCTCGTATTTATATCCCCCAGGAATTTTGTGGCCCAGTTATACCCCCAGGCACTAGTTTCCCTTTTCGACACCTACTGCGAATTTCAGTGCTACAGCGGAGGTATTCGAAATAGACTTCAAGAGGGAGTGCCTCCGTTGCTTCTAAATATTACGTAGAATATATGAAAATTCAGGTCGTTCCTCACAGGAAACATATTATATCACCTCTAGAAAGATCAACTGGTTAATGTTGTTTAGGAGAAAAATCGCTGTTTCTTGTGATAAACATACTAAACACAAAAATACGTTCTATGGGCAGAATGCAGAATTTAATTGTGCCTAATAACCACTGGGCTTATAAGTGTTAAATTAGACACATTTACTGAGTGTTTGACTGGAATGACTGAAGAAAATCAGATTAACATTCAGTATGGATAGCCGATCTATAGAACAAAAATCGAAAACTGGAGCTCATGAATACGATATTTAAATAATAACCAATATATTTTACGAAGTCCTGTCGATTGACAGTCTCGAATTCGAAATATCTCCGCTGTGAAACAAGAGATGCAGACAGCTTGACAATGGCTTTTCTGTGTGACGTCATGTATGCCCCAGAGTTACACAGCGCAGTTCTCTTCGAGATCTTACCCAAATTATTATTCATGTAAATATATGAATATAATAAAGTCAACGTTTCTCATTGTTTTCGCATAGAAGTTGATGCAATATAGAACACCTTCTGAGATATACCATTTATCTCTGTCAGTAACCACCAAGCCATAAAGAGGAATGGGGCGTGGAGATATAGCTACAGGAATTCTTAACACTGACACATGAATGTGAATTATCATCTTCATGCTCTAGCAAATTTACCCAAAAAAAGAGTCTGTGGTGTTTATTCGGTAGGACCCTGGGTGGGCCCCAGAGCAGGTGTACACGTAGGGGTGGAGAGAACTATATCTTACCCTGCCTGGAATTGAAGAACAGAAATCAGGCGGATGAATCCAGTCACTGCCGGTCACGGTCTAGGCATGCACTGTCTTCGCTCGCTCGGAAGTCGGGATCGTGGGTTCGAATCCCACTCAGGGCATGGATGTTTCTGTGCGTTTCTCTGTGTTTGTGTACAGGTAGAGGCCTTGCGACGAGCTGATCACCCGCCCAAGAAGTCCCACTGAATATGTAAGATCTAGAAAAACCGAAGTGAACGGAGTTCATGGAGGTAGGCTTAGGCCCACTGGGGCTGTAGTGCCAATGAAAAGAAAAATCAAGTCACTAATTGGAATGCCCTGGACATAGAAATGAATTTTTGTATCCAATAAAGCACGGATAATTCTTGAACAGTTGAGGGACTATCTGCATCTTAAGAAGCATTATGTCCCACGGAGTTAATTATGATTTTGTCATTGTTACATTGAAAGATAATAGGTGTAGTTTGGTATAATAACATTTTATATTTTATATTTCTGATCGTTCCTAGATACTGATATTGTTAAACGTCTTTAATTTTACAGCTCATATGATTTATGACTACAGTAGTTCTATTAATCTCGATTCTCACTTTGATCAATATGTATCTATACGTTGGCATATACTTAAGTGCCTTGAGAGTTTTTTTATTGCTAGTGGGGTGGGACTAAGTCCCTTGTACTGCGGCCACTTCTGGCCTATTGTACCAGCCCCAGATGATAGGTGAGGGTGATTGTGGAGCAATTGGTGGAATTAAGATTGGCAAGGGAAACCGAAGTACTCGGAGAAAACCTGTCCCAGAGCCACTTTGTCCACCACAAATCCCACTTGACCAGACCCGGGCTCGAACAAGGGCCGCCGCGGTGGGAAGCCAGCGACTAACCGCTTGAGCTATGGCGCGGCCCTGCCTTGAGAGTTATCTGTGCTGTGTTTTGTGAACCACTGTCCTCAGTACAGAAAGTAATTCTTCGAACAAAATAAACAGTACGGCCATGGACAACAAGCGTGTCAAATTGTTACCCTATTTGGGAAATTGTATCTCCGACCGCACCAACAGTATCTCAGTGTTTCCCTACTTAATTAAAGTTGGACGCTCATAAATTCAGAAGATCTCGAAAAGGTCGCTGTCACTATATGAGCTAGTGTGACGAGGGGGGGGGGGGATACACACACTTCGTTGACAATTGCTTTAAACCAGGGAACATGGATCACAAATTGCTTTACCAGGGCTTAGCCTCCCTGTCTCTAATACAACAGAAAACTGTTGTGTCGTGGCTAGAAATAAAGTTTCCCACACAGTTGGTTTCTGATGGTAATGGTATGGAAAATAAGAATGCATACAGGATTCTGGTAGCAAGGCAGAAGGAAAGAGACTGTTAGGGAACTGTAGACATGTGTAGAAGGATAATACAAAAATGGATAGGGGGAGGTGGGGTAGCTGTAGGCTGCATGGCCGGGTTGCGAACCTGGTAGGAGTAAGATTTCTCTCTTCTCCACTGGGTCAAGATCGGCTGTGGGGCGCATCCAGCCCTCTAACCAATGGGTACCGGGGACAGTTTAAAACGACTGTGGGGCGCAACAAGCCCTCTAACAAATGGATACTGGGGGACAGTTTAAAGCGGTTGTGGGGCTCATCCAACCCCCTAACCAATGGGTACTGGGGGACAGTTTAAAACGGTCGTGGGGCTCATCCAACCCCCTAACCAACGATTACTGGGGGACAGTTTAAAACGGTCGTGGGGCTCATCCACCCCCCTAACTAATGGGTACTGGGGGACATTTTAAGCGGTTGTGGGGCTCATCCAACCCCCTAACCAATGGGTACCGGGGACAGTTTAAGCGGTTGTGGGGCTCATCCAACCCCCTAACCAATGGGTACCGGGGACAGTTTAAAACGGTTGTGGAATGAAAATGTCAACACACCTCCATCTCGTGCAGAGTTCAAGAGTGGTGGAACTCTACCTCCGTTCCCCCGTGCGTCTTTATGGCATAGTGCTTAATTAATTAAACATAGGATCCTTCATTTTGAGAATGATAGGCTGGAGTGGTATGGAGTGGATTCATTTGTCTCAGGAGAGGGACCAGGATTTCTTAAAATGCTGGGAAATTCTTGAGTAGCCAGGCGGTTGCTGGTTACTCGAGAAGGATTCGGTTCCATAAAGTTAATTAATTAGTTGGTTGGATGATTAGTTTCTTTTATTGCTAGTGGTGTGGGACTAAGTCCCTTGCACTGCGGCCACTTCTGGCCTATTGTACCAGCCCCAGATGGTAGGTGAGGGTGATTGTGGAGCAATTGGTGGAATGAAGATTGGCAGGGGAAACCGAAGTACTAGGAGAAAAACTACCCCAGTGCCAACTTGTCCACCACAAATCTCACTTGACCATACCCGGGATCGAACCCGGGCCGCCGCGATGGGAAGCCAGCGACTAACCGCTTGAGCTATGACGCGGCCCAGTTAGTTGCTTAGTTACTTAGTAAGTCAGTCAGTCAGTCAGTTTCCCGGTTTCAATCACTGTCTTGGCTCTCCATCCTGCAGCGTGTAGGAAAGCACTGCAAATAGAAGAGAAATAATGACACATTTGAAATGTTGCGCCAAATTATGTCATAATTGCAAGATATAAACTGTAAACAACGCACAGAGAAGGCGTGTTGACCAAGTTTAAAGAACTGCCCTAGAATTTTAATGATGGAGCTATAAATAACAAGGGAAGTTTCCCAGTCTGGACAACCGGCAATCAAGTACTCAGTACTTGCCAGATACAGAGCCGGCAATGCTGACCACTTTGTTGCAACGTTCAGTCGGACAGGTTAAATTGTCTCATAATATATTCATTGCATAGCTTATTTAAAAACGCTTGTCAGAAAGTCAATGAAACTTTGAACTGGCAGAATAATTATGGAACGATGAATTCGAAAATATGTGCAAAGAAAAGACAGCCGCAGCCTATTTTGTGATGTCGTCCTGACATTTTTCTGGAGTGAGAGCGAAAACCATGATACACTTCTGTCGGAATTTTCGGTGTTACGTTCTGAGAGTTATCGATTGAGCTAACTTGCTCTGCTAGTCACATATGTTGGCCCAAGTGTCACGGTGGATTTGCTAACGTTCAGATTGAGAAGGATGAAGATACAATGACATATTTATGGTTCTCACGTGTTGTGACGTAATGTTGACAGGGCGCAGAGCTGGACGCGCAGAACCTACTGTTGACTGACAGGGATACGGAGGCCGTCAACAACTATCATGCCACACTGCTAAACGACACCCACGGAATCTTCAGCTTCGAGTGTAACAAGTGGCCAGATGACAGAGTGGAGCCTCACACTGTCATACATTGCAGTAAGTGACAATGATTACTACACTTCATTATATCAGTCATAGGAACAGCTGATCACAGTGGTCGAGCGGTCTAAGTCATGAAATTTTTCGATCGCTCGAGCACTGGGATCGTGGGAATCCCACTCGAGGCATGGATGTTTGTCTGCGTTTATTTTGTGTTTGTGTGTAGTAGCGGCCTTGAGACGGGCTGATCTCCCGTCCAAGGGGTCCTACGGACTGTCTTAGGATTAAAAGCTAAACTGAAACGAAGCGTTTGCTCTAAGTGGGAGCGGCAGGAAGAAAGATAGACATAGGAATGGTTGAAATCATCTTCAGTTAGTTAAACGATGTTGCTACAAATGAAGAGGTTATAGAGCGTCGAATGAGATGGGAAGATTTATGAATGGATTTTAGATAGAAATTTGTGAGGATTAGATCATGACCTAAGGAAAACCACGAAAAGCTATTAGGATAACTAATATGCCTGCAGAAATATAAAGTGTGTACCATTCTAAGGCATGTTTAAAACATTACACACACCTACCTCGCCATATACCGTATTTACGCATGTATAGGCCGCGTGCGTGTACAGGCCGCAGCACAATTTTCAGACAGAAATTATAGAAAAAATAATTTTCTTCGAATATTATTTCAGGAGTATTACACCCTGTATTACTAATTATGAATATAATTTTTTTTAATGAAGTGTGATTTCGAATATTTCGAATATAAGCCGCACCCAAGTTTTCCTCTTGAATTTTTGGCAAAAAATGTGCGGCCTATACATGCGTAAATACGGTAACTATGAATGGTAGACTTTAACATATCTTAAATACAAGGTATTAAATATACCTTGAATGTAAGTCAGTCATTCTTAGATACAGTTGAACCTCGCTTAACGAGCACCTCTCATAACGAGTAATTCGCACAATGAGCAAAACAAATTGTAAAAAAATGACTCGCTTAACGAGCGACGTCTCGCATAACGAGTGACGAGAGGGGAAGTCCCGGATTGTGCGCTTGCTACATCAGTCTGTGTTTAGCATTCGTTCCGCTAGCATCTTAGTGTCGCTTGTGATCACACATTTTTCCAAACTTGTGTTCAGACATATTACTTGTGATTTTTTTTTGTGCAAAGTTTAATAACCCTTGCAAAAAAGTCCCCGAAGAAAAAGCCGCAATAAGACAGCCATAAGAGAATAAAAATAACAGTAGAAATGAAAAGTAAAATCATTGAAAAGCGAGAACGAGGTGTGAGCGTGGCTGATCTAGCTCGCACATTCAGTCGGTCTACATCAACGATTTGCACTATCCTCAAGATAGTTCATTACGCATAGAAGAAAAGATGAAGATGATTCACGCTCCTTAACAATGTATATATAATTTTCTTTGAATAAAGGTTATACATAAATTTTTTTTTTTAGTTTTTTTTCGGCATGGAACGTATTATCGTATTTTACATTAATTTATATGAGAAAAATTGTTTCGCTTAACGAGTGTTTCGCATTACGAGTAAGATTCTGAAAAGAATTATGCTCGTTAAGCGAGGTTCCACTGTATTTGTTAAACTACATTAAATGTGTCATGAAATATGTATGGGTCGTTTTGTGATTTGCCTTATTTAAAAATTTTACATGTCTGCCTCAAAAGGTTAAAGAGCTGCTGCGAAAGAAAAGAAAACTAATTGTATTAGTAAATAACACGTAAAAATACGCCGTGTAGTCCGTTGAATGTCAACCAACTTTTCGGAGGAATATGTCGCCTCCACCTTCAGACCTTCTTGAGAAGCCGCCCTTCTGTGCAGCTACTCAAGAACTCACCAGCATTTTATGGAACCTGATGGTTCATTGCCGTGTTCGCAAGAGCCCTCCACTGGTCCCTATCCTGAGCCAGATCAATCCAAATCCACACCATATTATTCCATTCTGTCTCTCCAAGATCCATTTTAACACTGTCCACCCACCTATGTCTTGGTCTTCCCAGTGCTTTCTTTCCTTCTGACTTTCCCACCAATATCCTATATGCATTCCTCTTCTCCCCCATTCGTGCTACATGCCCTGCCCACCTTATCCTCTTTGACTTTATCATTCTAATTATACTTGGAGATGAGTACAAGTTATGAAGCTCCTCATTATGCAGTTTTCTCCAACCTCCTATCACTTCATCTCTCTTCGGTCCAAATATTCTCAACACCCTGTTCTCAAACACACTCAGTCTATGTTCCTCCATTAATGTCAGAGACCAAGTTTCACACCCAAACAGATGAGTACTAGCTCTATTAATTGGACCCAAGACAGTAGGCTTTTTACCTGAAAATGGAGGCAGAACTAATCCTCCGAAACGTCACTTAAAATAACAATTCTGAAAATGGATAATGTACGAAAAAATTATCATAATAACAGTGTTAGTTTTAGTGATACTCAATAGAAATAATACACCTTTGGGAGATCTGTTACAGTACAATAATTCAGGGCAACCAGCGTTACTCTGACCTCTGATTTTCTACTGCCACCATATTGTTGCTATCGGTGATACAGAATTTGAAAGTGCAAATATGGAGTGATTTCTAGTGTCACAATAAAAAAAAACTCCGTGGCTTTTAGCCCGCCAGCGATCTATATCGACCGAGCAACCGCCGCTTGTCGGCGAAGTTAGTGTCAACTTCAGCGGATAAATGGTGTCCCGTGGTCAGCAAAACAGATTCCTACGGCCGTTAATCTCAGTTTTCTAGACCGGAAGTGACACGATATCCATAAAAAATATAAAAAAATATTTCTTTAAATTGTTAGGAAGGAAAGACACGTGGACATTTTCAATAACCTAGATTATAAAGTGAAGAGAATGGACTAAAGTATTCCTGTCCTAAACGGTGAGAGAAGTTTCTTTCAGAGACGAACAATTTGTCAGTAATCTTACAGAAGCCCTCCTGTTGTAGAGCAGATGATGAGAGTGAAGTCCTCCAGTAACAAACTCAGCTGAGATGCTTTTAAGTTATTTTTCTTTCATTTTCCTGAATTACGATTCACATTTCAGTTCCTAAGATCACTGAAATTTATGAATATTTCTCTATGTACCCTGTTGTGAGTTTTCACAGTGATAAACATCTTGACTTGACTTAATTCCTTTAGTTCAGAGTGGAACATAGGGTTCCCATGAAGCTTCTACATCTTCTCCTCTGGTTTTCCAATGCCTTAACCTCTCTCCAGGTCTTTCCCGTCTCTGCTATTTCCTTTTCTATTGTCCTTCGTGGTAAACATCGGAGGCTTTCAAATCCTTGGTACGTGACAGCCACTGTCTTCTATCGATTATCGACACATCGAACATATTCGTTAGAGTTTAAATGGAGTTTTATGTGATTTGTGCCGTTGCATTAGTCTGCATAAAACATGCGTAACTAGTGGAAAATAATTTCGTGGAATGCCTACGGCGTTTGTTGTGTCTTCGTCGAAAATAATCGGGTCGATATTTGTGACAAGGCAGCGCGCCTGATTGATGAAGCGCAGACGTGTTCCCTCCTCGGACTTCGAGATGTGATTCCCCTCTTGACATGGCATGATTGATTGCTACACCTGTACACTAGTCACTGGACCACGTGTACTCGTACACAAAGATCCTGGATTTCATCCTGACAGTTGATAATTTTATTTATGGTTTATTTAACGACACTGTCAATACTTGCGTTTATGCTAGTACATTGCGAAATGTTAGGATGATTAATGAACGAATAATTAGCAATGACGCAGAAAGGAAGCTGTCGTGGCATAATTAAAGGTACTATCCTGGCATTAGCCTGGAGGAACTAAGATAAAATACAAAACATCTCAATTTAAACAGTGAGTGCCTCGACCAGTATTCGAACTGGAGACCTCCCGAATTACTGTGTCGCCTTGTTCTGTCAGTTCTGTGTTAATAATAATAATATAGTAAAGTTGTTCCTGGCCGGTCACGGTAGCCGAGCTGTCTAAGGCACGCACTGTCTTCGCTCGCTCGGAAGCCGGGATCGTTGGTTCGAATCCCACTCAATGTCTGTATGTTTGGTGTTTCTGTGTATGTGTGCATGTAGAGTGCTTGCGACGAGCTGATCACCCGCCCAAGGAGTCCTACTGAATGTCTAAGATCAATGAACCGAAGTGAAACGGAGAGTTTTAAGGAGGTGGGCCAAGGCCCAAATTGGGGCTGTAGCGACAAAGGAAAAAAAAGCTGTTCCTGTGCGTAACTAATCAAGAACTACGCCATGAAGACGTATGGGGAGTGGATGTACAGATCCTCATTTTCTCGACCTCGGCACTAGTTGGAGGTGAGTGGCCAGCTTTACGCACCGGCAGCTTTACCCCCGGAGAAAAGCCCCCGGTACTCATTGGGTAAGATGTTGGGTGGACCCCGGGACCGGTCTGGACTACATGAAGAAGAGGAAATTCTCTACCTCCTAGCCCTTGGTCGTCCAGTACGTAACTAGTCGCTACACCGATTACGCTATCCCGGATCACAATAATAATAATAATAATAATCTGTGGGCGCTACAGCCCATGATGAACCTTGGCCTCTGTTTTACAGATTATTAATCATAGAGACAGTCGGCAGGACTCCTTGGGCTGGGGAACAGCCCGCCGCTAGCCCTCTACCTACACACAGGACAACATAAACACAGAATATACGCACATAGATATCCATGCCTCGAGTAAAGTTCGAACCCATGACCCCAGTGTTTGAACGGGCGAAGACAGTTCATGCCTTAGGCCGCGCGGCAACTATGATCTGCAGTTCCTGTGTTACGGTATCGAAAATTATACATAAAATATATCTTATCACATGAAGAAAAAAGCATCCTATGTGAATGGTAAATTCCCAAAATAATTGCGTAGACACGTAAATAAATTAATCTCCGCATGTTACAGTCATCTATTGTTACACAAGCTTTCAGAGTGCTATAAATATTTATATATCAAAATGTCTAAAACTCTTACCCATCGGCTTGCTATTTGGCTTACTCGGAGTGCACGCTCTAATAAAATTAAACCGTTTATTCTCAAACGAATTCTTCAAAATAATTATCAAATTTCTGAACACATTTACTACATCTATTGGATAATATGTGGAATATTTCGACTTCAACTCGATGACGTTTCACAGCGACTGATTTGAGTAACTTGACGAGACGTCGAAGTATGCCAGCAATTAATTAAAATGAGAATCTTTTCAAAATGTGGCTTCAGGTTCACATTTCCAAAGAATACGTAAAAATCATCCAAATCTCTCCAAAATAATGGGACACACAGGCAACATGAATAAGACTTTGTTCGCACAGGATAAAATGGAGACTATTGGAGAGTAGGGCCTTTCTCATAATTTTATCCTTGATGCGTTCCTCCTCCACAAGATGGCATCAGTTTCCATTTCCTTCTGCTAGAGAATATATCACAAGTGTTTTCTGTAATGTAAACATCCTCTGTGGCTTGAGTCCACAAGCGAACTATACCGACCGAGCGACCGTCACTTGTCGGCGTATTTTAATGCCAATTAGCGGATAGAGGGTGTCGCATGGTCAGCGCAACGGCCGTTAATTTCGGTTTTCTAGACCGGAGCATACTGATCAACACATGGAACGATGGGATTAAGGGAAGCATGTAAAGAACAAATTTCAGGGATGAAGGCTGTTTCGATCGAGAGCTATGGAAAAAAAAGTTTTTCTTCGAGGAAAAGTGCATATTCACAGAAAAAATCCTTTAATAATAATAATAATAATAATAATAACGTGTCTGATGCAATTTTGAGGTGTTTAGGATTCTAACCCCATCGGTAGAAATAAACTATAAAAAATTAGTCCTCTCTTATAAGATTTGAGGCTTTCACGGCGGTGACTATGAAGAAAGCAGTCTTCTGGGATTTGGCACCGTGTATATGTGGTATTAACCGACGTTTCGGAGAAACGTATCGCCTCCATCTTCAGGGTAGAAGAAAAATAAAAGAAATCCGCAAGCGAAGAGACCGTGAGAACCGGTAAAAGCAGACTGGTCTGCTGGTCATAGTCCTCTCTTGTTGAGTTTCAAGGTTGAGTCAAATCTGAAAATGTCCATGTATCCTGATTTATCGGTGAACATGTTTTTTACGACCCACTTCAATGCAGCTCTGACGAACAGGTTGGATTCTTGCCGTAGATTTAGCCTATATTTGAGAATTTCAACACGGCTAACGATTATTTCAATGGTGGGGTTTTCCGTGGTTTTTCTCAGAACCCCGAGACGAATTTTGGGTTATACATCACGAAAGCTTTCACTCCCTATTCTCCATTCATGATCGGTATTTCAACTCATTTGACGCCGTGCAGAGTGGCTCTAAAGTTAGTTAACCCAGTTCTCTCGTATTCACCGAAATGTTCAAATTTAAACTTGCCAGGGAATTAGTAAACGATATCGTAGCCTAGCGAGCTCTGCACCTGACCTGGAGAAACTCATTTCGAAAAATGTTTGCAAATTCAGTTTGTATTAAAGAAGTAAGGGGCACGCTGTAGCGTGATTGATGCACTATGCTACAAGCCGGAAGGTCGTGGGTTCGATTCCCGATGAGGTGAATTTTTTTCGATTTACCCAGTCCTTCCAGTCGCACTGTGGCCCTTGGGTCGACTCAGACTCTTAACAGAAATGAGTACCAGGAATATTCCTGGGGGGAAAGGGCCCCCGGTGCTTAAGGATGACAACCTCACCACCATCTGTGAGCCGATTTCTAAATGAAGTGGTAGCCTCGATATCCCACAACCCTATGGGCCTTCACGGCCTGTTACAGGGATAGCTTTACCTTGTTTTTTCCTTTTATCCATGAGTGAATTCGGAAGAGCAAGAAGTGAAATGAGGCTCTTATTAAATGAGGAAGGCCTCTGTGTTAAGTTGCGGGTCTAAAAAAACTCGTACAAGAAAGAGTATATTTATATCTAAATAATATAGGATGTCCGGATGAAAGGTACCCAAAATAAAATAATTATATCTCAGATAGCTTTTACAATACACATGTATAGGTTACACCACTACAAAGGGAAACTATCAAAGTTTTTTCTGAGTATATAACTTTTTCAATAAATGTCAATGTGGGCTCCCTTGGGGGCACGACAAATATCCAGACGATCTAGCATGTTTGGTGTTACCATAACCACAGCGTCCCTTATGCGGGCTTTCAGGTGTTGCAGCTAGTCGATCTTAACCTGGTAGACAATGTTCTTCACATAATCTAACAAGGAAAAATCCAGTGGGGTTAAATCTGGCGACCTGGGGGGCCAAGCGATTGGTCCACTTCTGCCGATCTATCTCCCAAACATCTCTCTGTCCAGGTGATTCCTAACATGATGGCAGAAATGTGGAGGCGCATGCGCGAAAGCCGGCATGGAAAAAAAAAACTTACAGGGTTTTCCTTTCCGATGACATAAACCGGATACGTGTATGACAATTACTTTCAGAGATATAATTTTTAATTTTGGTACCTTTCATCCGGACATCCTGTATATCCCTAGTAACTGGTACGTAGATAACGAAGATAGAAGAAAACGCTAAGGAAAGCAAGCCAATTATTTTAAGGTTGACTGTATACAAGAGTAAGCGCAGAGCATGTTAAGGCGGTCATTTCCAAAGAAAGTAGAATAAACCGGTTAAGAAGACTGCCTTGCCTCTCCTAATGCCAAGGTTTCAGCCTCTAATGACATGGTCTCATCTTCTGTTATCTAACTATCAAGGAAGCAGGATTATTAACGTAGTCTTTCCACTTTCGTTTCTCAGTAGCGTAAAGAAAATGAAGTATTCCGACCCATTCTATTGCGTCAGTGTGAGAGAAAGCTTCCACTTATCCAATAAAATTTCTGTAGTTTTCTGATACTCACAGCAGAATACAAAACTCGTCGCTTAAGTGTCTTATCCAGCTTAATGATGGAATTACGCTATTTATGTTCTTTTCTGAGCCAATTGTTTTGAATTATTTACAACTGCATTACAATAAGAGGATTTTATCTTAAAAACATGGGATTTACAATACAAAAACTATAGCTTTTGTTGTTGTGTAGTGTGTGAAACTTGGTTTGTTGGTACTAAGAGAAGAGCATAGATTAAGGGCGTTAGAGGACAGGGTGCTGCAGAAAATATTTTTCCCAAAGACACAGTAAGACAACGAAAGGCTTCACCATTTGTACACTTTAACCAAAATAATTAAAGTGAACAAGTCAAGAAGGTTAGTTTGAGGTCAGAAGAGGTACTGTGTCGGATTCTTGTAAAAATGGCAATAAAAATCGGTTTCCATAAAAGGAATTCCTTGGCATGTTGAGAAAGTATCTTATTCTCAAAAGTAAGGTTTATTTCGTGGAAACTCATTTAGTTAGTGACCGTAATGGAACAAACACTTCGAGTTAGAATACCAGATTTTACTGTGTTACATAAAACATATTTCAGACTTTAAGGTCTTTACAGATGAACATAATGTCACAGGATTATTCCCAGAGAGGAAGCATGGCAGTATATGTGTAAAAGCGAGCGAGAAATGCAAATTCTGAAGTAACAGATTGGCTTCTGTGCGTAATCCACTGCTCCTTTCCACGCCTGTCTATTGAACACATAACATGTCGTAGTATGAAATGTTTGTAAAAAGCTGACAGTCAAAAGTAAATTACTAAGAAGACTTTTGATTTTTGGGATGTGACACCGTTTAGTCCGGTATAATTCATCTATCAGACTACATGGCGTCACATGCCACAAGAGAACAGTCTTCATGGTCACGGCCGTGGTAATTTCAATAAAATCTCACGTGAGACATGCTACGGGATGTAGGCCTATCCTGCAGTGTGGCCGCATCATTTACACCAAAACAGGTCCTCAAAGCCCCAAACATCTGAAGGCGGAATATGTTTACAAAGTTGGTAGAGGGAAATTGTATTCAAAGTTTTTTGTTTTTTTTTTCGAATATTAAGGCGCGTCCACATTACTCGTGCTCGTGTTACTCGCTATGCTCGTGAGTAATGTGGACGATATGACAAGTCACGAGACAAGCAAATTTTAAATTTTTAATTTAAAAACTATAGCCAATAAATTAAAATACTACTACAGCCTATACAAACTACGAGTAAATATACGGATCCTCACGCGCCAAAGCCTGGCGAGCAACTGAAGTAGTGTGAACGAAGATTTACGAGCACAAGTAAAAGCCTGACGAGTCTCTCGACGAGCACAAGCCTGGCGAGCACGAGCGCGAGCACGAATAATATGGACCCGCCTTTAGACTCATAATTTATACAAGTTTATTAATCTAATATTAATTGAAATGTATTACTTCATAAATTAAAATATTATGGATTTATGTATAGGTGTTCATGGAAGCGTACCGTAGGATATATAACCAATATATGCAACAAACATAGAAGCAAAAATATGATTGTATTGTGGCATGAATTTCCGTTGCTAGGCAACGACTGCGTAACAAACAATTATATAAAGGCTGTTACTAGGGAACGGCCCCTAAACAGCAACAGACGAACTGCGTTTTTGTGCGGCCCATGCCAAAATGTTACAAGCAGGACAGTCAGTTTTCAATTAGTTAGTCGAGAGTTACTGTAGCTGAGGCCGGGACTAAGGGGAACGTCGCTACCAGACAACGACTGGTGAGGCCACAGCACACTGAGAAAACTTAATTGTGTGCTCTAGTGAACTGTAAAGTGTGTGAATTACTGAAACGGTTATAATTACTTGTAGTCGCTGCTCTGTAAGTGTCATATAAATCCAATTACCAGCCCAAACTCCGTGTATTACCGCTCTATACATGTAACAATATAAAGGCTTTCAAGTTGGAGTTCTTCTTTAATTTAAATAGTTTTCTTATTAAGAAGCCCTTCTTACTGCCCCAACGTCTCCCAACATTCACAACTGTAGACAGTCAGATCCTGTCCATTATAACCTAAATAGGTTATGTCCGTTACAATGTCTCTCTCTGATCTTCTGCAGTTATCTGTGAAATCTAATTGTTTCTCTCTGCTTTTCCAGAGGTGCGAGCCAACAGAACAACCCCGCTGCCCTGGTCATCTTACCAAATTGTAATGAGGGTGAATGATACTTCGCTACAGTCAGGACATGGGACCAGCCACGTAAGAATCATCAGATCTCAATTTGTTTTGGGAACGTGAGTGGTTAAGTACGTCCACTCTACGAACTAGGCTACGTCATGCTTTGTCTGGACAACCTTACGAAAGAAACGTCCGGTATAAGAGGGTCTGAGTTTCCTACAGGCATGTGAATACCGGAAGTGTGTTTAAAATAGAGAACTGGAAATTTCTAAAGTAGGTTAAGGTCTACATCGCTAACCGTTAATGACGCATTCTCGTTCATGGAGTGGATACAGTATACTTATGTTCAAGCGCCACGGCATGGCCAGTTTCGTGCTCTAGCCACATTCTCCTAGAAGGAAAAGCAGTCAGTAAGCAGTGAATAGGAACTGAATGGGTCCCAGAACGTGTTTGAATTTGGTGGCGTGGATATGTATCTCTGGCTACCACCGAAATGAAACACCGGTCATCCAATTCATAGCCAGTCTCTTTATTGATTAAGTAGTTCATAATTTTTCCCATTATGTCAAATTGCAGATGTGTATATTTGTAAATGTTTTCTCAGTGTGAGCATCGCGGATTTTGTAGATACATAAGAAACGTGGGTAGGAATTATCATGGCGGTGATTTTACTTGTAGATTTGATTTAAGAATTCTCTAATCATCAGCAGGGCACGCGGTGACGTAGTTGGTTGAGACACTATGCTACAAGCCGGAACGTCGCGGGTTCGATTCGCGATGAGATGATTGGATTTTTTCAATTGACTTAATCCTTCCAATCGCGCTATGGCCCTAGGGTGGACTCAGCCTCTAACAGAAATTAGTACCAGGAATTTTCCTAAGGAGCATAGGGTGGCCGGCGCGTAAGGCTGACAGCCTTACCGCCATCTATGAGCCGACTGTCTAGAGAATGTGGGAACCTCGACCTCTCACAAGCCTATGGACCCCATGGCCTGTTAGAGTGATAACTTTATATTTTTTTACCTTATCATCAGTATTGTCGGAATGTTCTTTCGACTCATGTATTATTAGAAAACTCTGAATATAATAATTCTCATAATAATATAAAAACAATCGAATACTGAGATTATCATAAAAAATCATAACTAATATATTTGCCATCTTTGCGAGTGCCCTGCTTATGCATTTCTGCAATAAAGTGACTACTTTCTGTGGGACCCTCAACGTCTCACAGCCCTATGGGCTTTCATGGCCTGGTACAGGGATACCTTTACTTTTTTTAACTTTCTATTTATTTCCTCATTATCAGACTTTAGGAGAACTATAAAATATTATTTAAAATATCTATCATATCTCTTACATGCATATCTCGATAATCATCTTGCGTTCATTATCCGTTTACATAAACAGTCAGATATTTAATATTACTTCAGATATATCCAGCAAAAACGTACTAGTTCCTTTGAAATCTGATATTAGTAAATTTCCGTAAAGCTATATCCCACACTGATTAATGATGTATAAATTACAAACACAATCCCTTCATACTGAAAGTTGCCGGTAACACTGAAGGCTCCAAATTCGTAAAATAACACGTGAATATAGAGCTCATTGCATGGTTTCAATTCCAAAACAAAACCTTGATATTTATTTCTTCCTATTGAAATCCCGAACAAGTTCCAAATACCTTGGCTGTTTACAGCCTACTAAAACAGCCTGTTCAATTACATTCTTATGTTGAGTGCTGAATCCGACCCCTCACCTTTGTACAATTAATGCTGAGATAAAGATACGTGAAATCTGCCTTCCACTTCCTATACTTCGTGACCTGGTGCTGGAGCACAGGGGTAAATATGTCCCTTTTTATAGCAAAATTCACTCAACAACTTTGGATACAGCCTTCAAGTATCAAACTTCATTCAGGGCTGTAAACTGCTACGAAATATAGACCCGAACATGCATATAGACAAGGATGTCGGATAGGAGTTTTCTTGCTTTTGCAAATAACTGCTGGTATATCCAAGGAAATATGAGTCCACGCTTTTAGTAGTAGAAATTAAGACTGCTGCATTCCTTCCATAATTGTCATGCTGTAATTAAAGCTATTTCCCATAAAATGTGTGCTAACATTATTCGCATTAGAAGCGTGGAAATTATCCATTAATGTACTTCGCGTGTGGAATTATCACCATTTCCGTGGCTTAATGTGGCTGAACCTCAAAACCCGACAGATAAATATTAATTAACTACTAATTATGTAATGACAGTTCCTTGCAGCGGAAAAATTAATTATGTATTTGAAATCGTAATATATGATATTATTCACAGCATGGCGTTCTGGTGTGCAAGTCTTTGAAGAAGGAAGAAGAATCACACAGTCTACAAAATCTGATTTTATATTAAACGTAATTTATATCGAGATTAGCTCTCAGAAATATGGGTGGATCTCGAAAAAATTAATTGGTTGAAAGGAAGTGAATCAGAATGAATTTTAGAAAGTGGATTGCCGTTTGTCTTCCCGTTCGTGTTCTCAGGAATTCCAGCTGTCAGTAGAGATAAAGGCTTTTATCTGTCTCCTTCAGCATGGTTGTTTCGCTATTCCCGAGATTCAGCTGAAATGCTACCTTAACGAAGAAGAAGAATGGCCACTCTCACAAACCGTGATAATTTATATAACTCCCTATCCCATTACGTTTCTGTTCTCACTTTAGATATTGCAGGCGTTGCTATAGCAACGAGACGGCTTAAAATTACTGAAATAGTCTGTACCGGCGTGTGTGTGTCTGTGTGTCTGTGTGTGCGTGTGAGTATGAGCGGGAGTGAGCGAATGGGTAAGCAAGTGAGCGAAAGTGAAGGAGTGAGTGGGTGGGTGGGTGAGTGAGTGAGTGACTGAGTGAGTGAGTGAATGAGTGAGAGAGCGGGAGGGGAGCGAATTGGTGAGCGAGTCGGAGTGAGCTAAGGAGAGTGAGTGACTGTGTGTGTGCGAGAGCGCGCGTGTGTGTCCATCCGGCTCCAAGATCCCGCCTTTTAACTTGCTGTATAAAAATGGAACAAGAATTCCACAGTTGTGTATAGGCGCAAGATGTGCACTGATTTATGCAAACTATAAAATTCTTCCATGCTCGGTATATTCAAGGTAAAGAACTAATCAGGGTTTGACGTTACGTTTTTATAATATCATTCATTGCATTCAGAAGTTAGTATATGCATTGAATATTAAAATTATGACGGTTTCATTACAGCACTTAACAGGCGCACCCCCTTCCCCACACATTAGAAGAGCTTCAGTCTTCACATTTCACATTCACTGTTACCCTTGAAATAGCCTCAGTACTTGAGACGAATTTCAGCCCCTTAGAAAAACATTTCTGATCAGTGGTATAAAAAAGGATACCTTTAGGCTGGGGCCACACGAGCACACAAAATGCGTCCGTTGTAGAAATAAACAAAAGAGGCAAATGTTGCGCTTTTTTCTGGCTCCATTGCACACAAAAAACTATTTCCCGCATTCTGCAACAGTGTGGTGTCCTCAGGAACGTCCGTCATGAAGTACATCCGTTGCAACGGACGTACTTCGTGCGCTCGTGTGGCCTCAGCCTTAATGTTACGGTGTTGCGGAGCGTGTGGTCGTGTACCATGACAGACAGGTACCAAGACTCGTTGCTATGGAATCCTTATATCCCAGAAGACATTTTGTGTTAGCTTTTATTGCTATGTGGACAAGCTTTTCTATCGTTGTACCATCACATGTGAAATATGGGTGCCTTTCCTGTAGTTCTTACATTTAACTGTTTCCATTCTCATATTTACTAAAAAAGCCTTACATTTTTGTAATTTAATAAATACATTATAGATTTTAATGTATATGTTGAGCAGCTATACCAATAAATGCAGAGTGATCCATCTCGGAGGAATTCAAAAAGAAAAAAATATTCAGTCCTGAAGGAATATCTCTTCTGACCTATGTAACTCGTGTGTATGACGGAAACAATTATAATTATATTTCGAGTGGGAACGAAATAACGACGATGATGACGATTATGACGATAAAATAATAATAATAATCACTTAGTTCATTTTATTATTGTTTCTGCTGAAACAACAGCCACAAGGTCATTTACAGATAGAGTACAGTGGAAAAACTATTATTTCTAGCTTACAAAACGAAGAACACAAGGACAACAACAAAAACAAATATTTCTGTTGCTGCTGCTGCTGCCGCCCTAATAATAATAATAATAATAATAATAATAATAATAATAATAATAATAAGCAGACAGAGAGGTTCTGGTAAACAGGCCAGACATAATAATTAAAGACAAGCAAAAGAAAACTTGCATACTTATAGATGTATCAGTACCAGCGGACAGGAATGTAGTAAAAAAGAAGCAGAGAAGAAATTAAAATATAAAAATTTAAGCATAGAAATTCAGCGAATGTGGAACATGAAATGTTTTGTGATACCAGTAATTATTGGAGCCAGGGGTACAGTCACGAGAGGGTTGAGAAAATATTTGGAACTAATTCCTGGAAAGCACTCCATAGATTCGCTGCAAAAAAAAAAAAATCCTGGGAACATCACACATACTACGGAAAGTGCTACAGTGCGAAGCTTGAAGCCTGAGTGGTGAGGTGCATCACTGGTTCAAGAAAAGGAATACAAGGAAAAAAACCTGTGACAAGAGATAATGATGATGATGATGATGATGATAATAATAATAATAATAATAATAATAGCGTGTATTTCTCTTAAATTTTACACTTATTCTGTGTTTGCAATATTATGTATTCATAGAGATATTGGGTTTTCGGACTTTATCCGTCGTCCTGGTTTTAAGATAACTAAGAAACAGTTAAGTGTTTTTCTTAGTTATCTTAAAAACCAGGACGATGGATAAAGACCGAAAACCAAATATCTCTGTGTGTTATACACCATCGTCAGAATCCTATAGTAATTATGTATTCATGTATTACAAAAGCCAGGAAGAATTCCACTTTCCCAAACACTTGCCCCTCCACAGAGTCGTACTGACGACAGTCTTTTAATCGATGGTGTGAAAGTGACAAGCCTGTTGACGTCG